GGGGGAGCGGACCCGCTGCTGACGAGGGAAGGAGAACTGCGGGGAGGGCCCATGAATGAATCTCCCCGCTGAGCTTGCCTCTGCCCTTCCTTCTCCAGAGACCTCCCCGGTCTGGGAGGGATTCTGTGGAGAAGAGGACAGGGTGCCAGGAAGGTGGGGTGTAAACAAACATGCCCTGGACATGACCTCGGAGGATTTTAATGAATAGCTGAAATGACTCATCAACCAGCAGGGCTGAAGCTGAGGGATATCGGGTGCTGGGGATGGTAACTAATGGAAACATTAATTAAGAGTTCAGCTCTTGCCAGCTGCGAGGAGCGTATGAACCTGAGAGCTGACACGGTCACAGCGATCCGGGGCCAGAGGAGAGCTCCTGGAGCTGATGGCACAGCTGGATTACACATGACGGCCTGGGATTTTTGATGAAAGCTTACTGTAGCGTAAAGCAACCCGTACAGAGGCAGGGAACTTGCTGGACGGGTTTTGTTGTTCAGTGAAAGATCCGGCATCTCCGGCATTCCCTGTTCCAGGAATCCTTGGGAGTGGTGCTTGAATTAACCTGCATGAATTAACCCCTCGTGAAGGGCAGAGCAGACAGAGGAGCATTGTTCAGAGTTACTTGATGACTTCAGCTGACGTCTTGGAGTTTCCATCAGTAGAAAGATTGTGAGACTTCCTGGAGAGGGCTCCAACTCACCTTCTTTCTGGGTAGAAAGTGAATGTGAAGGTGATGGGTCAGTGGTTGTTACTTGGCAAGAAGCACCATATTCCATGCCGAATGGTGCACTGTAGAGCATCAACCTTTGAAGCTTGATAGCCTGGGCAACACCACACAGTGCCACAGTGCACGGTGTGTGAAAGGGAATGTGCTTAAGAATGAAGGCACGATGAAAACGAACACATCCTCTCAGCTTTACATTACTGTCCATGGTTCTTCTGGGAAGTCTGGCCCAGTATGTCCTTGCAGTGTTTGAGCTCCTTGGACTTTTTCTGGCCATGTTTCATCTGCCTCTTTCTTGAAGGACTCTCTGCTCTCTGTTCTTGAGGCTGATATTCTGGGAGGTTCTGGGTTGCATCTGTAGGGTGCAAAGCTGCTCACACCACATTTCTGTTCTTGCAGCGGGTTCAGGCTCAATGCAGGGTCCTCAGACACCTCAGTCCACCAGCAGCTCCATGGCAGAAGGAGGAGACCTGAAGCCACCAACTCCAGCATCTACGCCACACAGTCAGATGCCCCCTTTGCCTGGCATCAGGTATGAAACCATTGCACCCATTCCCACTACGCTGGATGCAGCATGACTGTGAGGTTGCTTCTGGGTCACTGCCACAGATGGCTGTTTTGGTGGAGCTCCAAGGCTTTGCTCCTTTGGTAATGGCTCACAGCAACGTTGTTGACTCTGCATCTGTGTGAGAATAATCATTACTCTGGGGACTGGGGTTGAGGACAGCATTGTGGAAGGGCAGTTCTTCATGCCTCTGTTGGAGGAGCCTGACTGTTGTCCTTCTAAGGGATAGCAACACCTGAGAGGGAACATGGGGGGAAGAGTATCCTGAGGAGCATCGTGGATCTCTATAATCCTGTGTTTGGGTGTTGTTTATCTTTTCAACCAGGAGTAACTCAGTGGGCCTTCAGGATGCCTTTGCAGATGGTAGTGATCCTACGTTCCAGAAGCGGAACTCCATGACTCCAAATCCAGGGTACCAGCCCAGCATGAATACCTCTGACATGATGGGTCGCATGTCTTACGAGCCAAATAAAGATCCTTACAGCAGTATGAGGAAAGGTGAGGAAGTCCTTGTGTGCTCCTTTCCCTTTTCTCCTTGGGTGCTAATCCCTGTGTCTGGCTGTACTCTGGGATGTGCTGTAGGAGAGACCTTCTCCTTTTCCTTCTTCCCCAGAATTTGGGACCTACCTTTCTAATGCAGCAGTAGACATCTTTATTGGTTGTTCTTTTCAATATTCCAGCTCCAGGAAGCGATCCCTTCATGTCCTCAGGGCAGGGCCCCAACAGTGGTATGGGTGACCCTTACAATCGTGCTGCAGGTCCAGGGATGGGTAATATGGCCATGGGACAGCGGCAACACTATTCCTATGGAGGTCCTTACGACAGAGTGAGGTGGGTACTCGAAGTTGGTGAGATCTTGATTTACTTGACTCATGTGAAACTATTACTTTCTCATCACTGTTGTGACTTTTCTGATCATCTTTTTTTCCATTTGTGGAGAAAAGATGAATTTAAGTGGACGTGTGGGGGTTTTTGTCTTTCCATATAGGACGGAGCCCGGCATGGGACCTGAGGGCAACTTAGCAACCGGAACTCCGCAGCCAAACATCATGCCTTCCACCCCTGAATCGGGGATGTACTCTCCCAGCCGCTACCCACAGCAGCAGCAGCAAAGGTCTGTGCAGGGTGTTGCCACAAACAGCTCTTCCCAGTTAGAGAGCTCTGAGACTGTGAGAGTGAAGCGTGCATCTGATCAGACAAGTAATGCATCTGTTTCTTCTCCAGACATGATTCCTATGGCAATCAATTCTCCACTCAAGGCACATCCTCGGGCAGCCCCTTCCCTAGCCAGCAAACTACCATGTATCAACAGCAACAGCAGGTAAACCATCAGACATTTTAAATTCTTTTTAACTGAGAGACAGAAGAGTTTTTATCTGTGAAATTTTGTGAAAAGGGGAGGATGAAAACTCTTTGGGCTGTTGTGTTTCCTTTATGAATGTGTAGAATTAAGTGGAGCCTCCTTCTCTGGAGACATTCAAGACCCGCCTGGACGCCTTCCTGTGTGATCTCATTGAGGTTCCTGCTCTGGCAGGGGGATTGGACTGGATGATCTTTCAAGGTCCCTTCCAATCCCCAGCATTCTGTGTGATTATACAGGAGACTTTTTTTTTTTTTTCTTTCCCAGTTTACAAATAGTTTAAATAAGTTTTAATGAGCATTTCCAGTGTTATGTTAGCAAAACAATGTTCTGAGAACAGAGGTTGTGTAGTTTGCAGACGTGCGCGCTCTGGTCAGGCAGCAGGAGATCAGGAAGCTTTATTTGGGCTTCTCTATCCCTCTGGAACTTTCTGAATCCCATCATGTTTCTGTAACACTTTTGGTCCAAGTTGATCAGATGAGTTTGTTGGGAGTATGTCCTTGCTGGTTCTGGGGAGCTGTTTCAGGTGGATCATTCTGCACAAGCCAGGGCTGTTTTTGTTTTTGTTTTTGCCTTACTGAGCCTGCAGACAAAGGCTTCAGACTGGCCTCCGCTGCCTCCTACTCGTTGTTCTCAAAAACATCAGGTTTGTTTCAGGACAGAGTTTGAATGAACATATATCTCTTTCCAGAATCCTTATAATATGACTTGCTCTTTGTGTCAGTGCCAAGACCCATAATGTTTTCCTGATAATTTGGAGCCCTCTGGTTTAGGGGAGTGTAGAGAGGGCAACTCGCTGAGCTGTGCTAAGAATAATTCCAACTGCTCTGCAGTTTGGCTCTGCAACCAGAGCCACGGGGCTCTGAGCCAAGAGTTCGAGTTACTCTGGTACTTGTCATCTTTGAAGCCCTAGAGCTCCATCTGAAGCCAGTCATGACCGTGGAGCTTCCGAGTAGACTGTACAGCAGCTAGAGCACAGACCCTTGGAGGCAAGAGAGATCTTGGGTTTTAATTCTGTCTCAGCAATTGAGTGTTTTCTCTGTTTGCACTTAGAAGTAGGGGGGGATAGTTATCGCTCCTTGGAATGATGTGTTTTGAAATCTACAGGAAAGGAAGAAGCAGGAAGTACAACAGTTTTTAATGCATTTTGTTAGATGCTTTAGCAGAAATCTCTGTTTTCTGGGAAACTGAAGAGAAATAGGGTCTGATAAAATTCCTGGATGTGAAAAGAAACAAGTACCTGTGCAGAGTTTGGTTTGTGGTGAATATGTAGTAGAGATGAGTCTTTTCTACAGGAAAGTCCTTTCTGTGGTCAGGCTTCTGCCCCAAAGGCATCCTTGTAGAATCCACAAGGAAACTCCCCAGCCAGCCACAAGGAATCAGGCTTGGCTTGTGACACTGAAAGACTGATCCAGCTTCACGTTGGATATGGCTAACGACGAGACAAGTTTTGCCCACTTACAGGCCACGCCATGGGCCATGTCCTCTGGCTCTGAGTAGCTCTACCCACTGAGGTTTGGTTTGCTTGTTTCTAAGTAGATAATCCCGTATTTTCAATGCCTTTTATTTTCCCCTGTAGAATTACAAGCGACCGATGGATGGCAGCTACGGCCCGCCTGCTAAACGACACGAAGGGGAGATGTACAACGTACCGTACAGCGCCGGGCAGGGGCAGACACAGCAGCAGCTGCCTCCAGCACAGACCCAGCAACCGAGCCAGCAGCAAACTGCACAGCCATCTCCACAGCAGGACCTGTATAACCAGTATGGGAGTACATACCCTGCTGCTGATCGCCGATCTGCCGGAGGGCCACAGAACCAGTTCCCATTCCAATTTGGCAGAGACAGGGTCTCGGCTCCCCCAGGCTCCAATACTCAACAAAACATGCCTCCTCAGATGATGGGTGGTCCCATACAGTCTACTGCAGAGGGTCCTCAGCAAGGCGCCATGTGGCAGGGGCGTAACGAAATGGGGTACAGCTATCCGAACCGGCAGAGCAGCGGCTCTGCGCCCCAGGGGCCTGCTTATCACGGAGTGACTCGAACAGATGAAATTCTGCATTCAGACCAGAGGGTCAACCATGAGGGACCATGGCCTTCCCACGGGAACCGGCAACCTCCTTATGGTCCCTCTGCCCCCGTGCCCCCAATGACTAGGCCTCCCCAGTCTAACTACCAGACCCCCCCTAGCATGCAGAATCACATTCCTCAGGTATCCAGCCCAGCACCTCTGCCCAGACCTCTGGAGAATCGTACTTCTCCTAGTAAATCTCCATTCCTGCACTCGGGGATGAAAATGCAGAAGGCAGGACCGCCAGTCCCTGCCTCGCATATAACACCAGCAGCTGTACAGCCTCCCATGATCCGACGAGACATCACCTTCCCTCCGGGATCAGTAGAAGCTACGCAACCTGTGTTGAAGCAGAGGAGACGGCTGACAGCAAAAGATATTGGTAAGAGCAAACTCCTGCCTTTCTCCTTGTGCCTGTCGAGGGGACGGGGTGCTGCCCTGACCCTTGGGTACAGTACTGCCAAGTGGAGGGGCTCTGCTGGCTTTGCTGTATTTTTGCAGGTTAGTTGTGGTTTTGTTTGGTCATTCTCTGCAGAGAGATGACTGGTACATACAGTCTGTACATCATCTTCAACAGGCTCTGCTCTTCATGGGTCCAGAAAGCAGTATCGAGTATCTCCTTTTTGTTTTTAAAACTCCAGGAGCTTGGAAGTGTTATGTGTTTATGTTACAGGAACTCCTGAAGCCTGGAGAGTGATGATGTCTCTGAAGTCCGGGCTGCTAGCTGAAAGTACGTGGGCCTTAGATACCATAAACATCCTGCTCTATGATGACAACAGCATAATGACCTTCAACCTCAGCCAGGTGGGTGCAGATGCTCTCAGATGCAGGTCTTTGAAGTTCTAATTTTGTAGGGTTTTCTGTCAACGAGATAGCAACAGGCAGCTTGTGCCCTTGTAGAGCCAGACTCCCAGACGTCCCTGTGCCTGCAGAGCACGCCAGGTCTGGAGAGAGTAAGGGGTCTGGGTAGCTGTGTGCTCGTTACTCGCTAGCCTGTGTAATTTATATATTTTTTTTTTGATGTGCAAACCTGTGTTCTCCCCTTTCTGGTGACATGTATTGCCTCTGTAACAGAGGAAGTGAATAACGGTGAGGGGGCCATGACGGACTTTGCAGTGAGAGTGCTCTGAAAGGCAGGAGGCTGCTTGATTTTCAAATGTTGATGGTGTTCATTCCCCTCTGGCTCTGTCTTTCCCCGAGACAGTGCTCAGGGATGGAGATGCCAATCTGGAGATCCAGCCTCTCTCAGTCACCACGTGCCTCTGTGGCTGTTGTAAAAACATCTTGGCAATACAGTAAAAGCTGCTTTTCCTTAGTGCTGCCCTTCACCTCCCCGTGTATTAACCACAGGGGAGATACAACCAAGAGCAGGTGTGTTTTTGCACAGGTATGTGTGTGAGGAGAGGGGGCAGCTGGATACTGACAGTCAGTATCTGGTTTTGCCTTTGTTCCTTTTCTCAGAGGACAGAGAGCTCTCTTTGGCAAACGGTTTGAAGCCAGCATGAAAAACACCCATTAATTAACATCAGTGCTTAAATTGTTAGCCCTTTATGCCCTGCTTCCCCAGTTGCTCGTGTTGGCCAAAGTTGTTTTCTGATCACTGTTCCCTTCCTTCCTTCCCCTCCTGTTTTTCTCCTCCCTTGTAGCTGCCAGGTTTGCTGGAGCTCTTGGTGGAGTATTTCCGGCGCTGCCTGATCGAGATCTTTGGAATCCTGAAGGAATACGAGGTGGGAGACCCAGGGCAAAGAACACTATTAGATCCTGAAAGGTTCTGCAAATCTTCAGCTTCCTCTCATGAAGAAGGGGAGGAGGATGATGAACCACGGAGCCTAAACTGTGAGGAGGAAGAAGAGGATGAGGAAGAGGAGGAGGCTGCGTTTTCAAGCAAGGACAAAGCACCTCTAGAGAGCAGCGAGGAAAAACTAGTTAGTAAATTTGACAAACTTCCAGTCAAGGTCGTGCAGAAGAATGACCCGTTTGTGGTAGATTATTCAGACAAGTTGGGGCGAGTGCAGGAGTTTGAGAGCGGGCTGCTGCACTGGCGGATCGGTGGCGGAGATACCACCGAGCACATTCAGACCCACTTTGAGAGCAAGACGGAGCTACCTTTGACTCATAAACGAGCTTCCTGCAACTCTGTCTTGAGGAAACGTTCAGCAGCTGAGAGCAATCCAAGCACTAGGGAAGGAGAGACTCTTCCATCCGACAGCTCCTCGGAGAAGAGGATAACTGCCACCATGGATGACATGCTTTCGGCACGTCCGGGCTCCCTGGCAGGGGAGGAGGAAGAGGTCAAAGCTTTGGAAACGGCGAAGGAAAGCAGCAAGTTTCCCTTTGGCATTAGTCCAGCTCAGAGCCACAGAAATATAAAAATTCTGGAGGATGAACCTCACAGTAAAGACGAGACGCCCCTCTGCACCCTCCTAGACTGGCAGGACTCTCTGGCGAAGCGATGCATCTGTGTCTCTAACATCATCAGGAGTTTATCATTTGTGCCGGGCAATGACTTTGAAATGTCTAAACATCCCGGGCTGCTGCTGATTCTAGGGAAACTGATCCTCTTACACCACAAGCATCCAGAACGCAAACAGGCACCCCTGACCTATGAGAAAGAGGAGGAGCAGGACCAAGGGGTGAGCTGCAACAAGGTGGAGTGGTGGTGGGACTGCTTGGAGATGCTGCGTGAAAATACACTGGTCACGTTGGCCAACATTTCTGGCCAGCTGGACCTCTCCCCTTACCCGGAAAGCATCTGTTTGCCTATCCTGGATGGACTCCTCCACTGGGCAGTATGTCCATCAGCAGAGGCCCAGGATCCCTTTCCGACACTGGGACCCAATGCAGTCCTCTCCCCTCAGAGACTGGTTTTGGAAACACTCAGCAAACTCAGCATCCAGGACAACAATGTGGATTTGATTCTTGCAACTCCCCCTTTCAGTCGCTTGGAGAAGCTGTACAGCACCATGGTGCGGTTCCTTAGTGACAGAAAGAACCCGGTGTGTCGAGAGATGGCTGTGGTACTGCTGGCCAACTTGGCACAGGGGGACAGCCTGGCAGCAAGAGCGATTGCTGTGCAGAAGGGCAGCATTGGCAACTTGCTGGGCTTCTTGGAGGACAGCCTGGCCGCCACGCAGTTCCAGCAGAGCCAGGCTGGCTTGATGCACATGCAGAACCCACCCTTTGAGTCGACGAGCGTGGACATGATGCGCCGAGCTGCTCGGGCGCTGCTCGCCCTGGCCAAGGTGGACGAGAACCACTCAGAGTTCACGTTATACGAGTCGCGGCTGTTGGACATCTCCGTGTCGCCTTTGATGAACTCTTTGGTTTCACAAGTTATTTGTGATGTACTGTTTTTAATTGGCCAGTCATGACAGCTGTGGGATCCGAGACCCTGTGTGCGTGTGCGTGAGTGGAGAACTTAGAAACTGACTGTTGCCCTTTATTTATGCAAAACCACCTCAGAATCCACTGTCTGCCCTGCGCTGTCCTGCTTCTCCCTTGGGGAAAGATGTCCCCGTTCCCTTTCCCCTTCCCCTTGCCCTTCAAATTTGTCCTGAATCCCTTATTAAAGGAGACAAAGTTCTGTCTACATAGAAGACTTTTTTTATTTTAACCAAAGTTACTGTCGTTTACAGTGAGTTTGGGGAAAACGACTTGCCGTGTTATCACATTGACAGGCACCACTTTCCTAACTGTTTTTAATGGTAAACTCTGAAGGACAAAAGCGACTGCTGAACTCTGTGTGGTTTATCGTTGTACATTCACAATCTTGCAGGAACCAAGAAGTTACCAGTTGTGAACAGACCTTGTCCAAGGGAGGCCTGTGCAGTAGCGTGTAGAACTTCATGTACTGTACACCTTAAACTGTAAACATACTGTAATAATGTCTCACATGGAAAGAAAAGAAAAAAAGAAAAGAAAAAAAAAACGCTGGATCAGCAGCAAGCTGTAGTTTTTAAAAATGTTTTTAGTTAATGTTGAGGAGAAAAAAAAAAAAAAAAGGCTTTTCCCCCAAAGTATCATGTGTGAACCTACAACACCCTGACCTCTTTCTCTCTTCCTCCTTGATTGTATGAATAACCCTGAGATCACCTCTTAGAACTGGTTTTAACCTTTAGCTGCAGCCTGAACGCTGCCACGTGTGTATATATATATGACGTTGTACATTGCACATACCCTAAGATTCCTTGCAGTTTTGTCCCCCTCTCCCTACCCCTTTATAGTATGACGAGTTAACGAGTTGATGACCTGCAAAAGCGAGACACAATTATTTAATCTCTTGCCAGACATCCCTCCCTGGAGGATGCTGTACAGGTCTCTGTGTATAAAGTCATTGCTGTCTCAGCAGCCAATCAACTTATAGTTTATTTTTCCTGTTTTTGTTTTCTTTCTAATCGAGGTGTGAAAAAGTTCTAGGTTCAGTTGAAGTTCCTGATGAAGAAACACAATTGAGATTTTTCAGTGATGAATTCTGCATATTTGTATTTCAGACGATGTAGCTAAAAACTTGATGTAAATTCCTCCCTTTTTTCCTTTTTTGGCTTAATGAATATCATTTATTCAGTATGAAATCTTTATACTATATGTTCCACGTGTTAAGAATAAATGTACATTAAATCTTGGTAAGATGTTTGTAAGGGTTTTTTTTATTAGCAGCACAGGGAGGGAGGTAACCTCAGTGCTGTCAGGTCTTGTTGATGTGATGTTGTAGGTCAGCTCCTCCTTACTATGCAGCACGGAGACCTCCGAGGTCCTGTGTGCTGCAGCAGTGTCTGGGGGTGACAGTGTCCTGTCTTGTCCTGGAGACCCTCATGCTGTGTGGTCTGGCTTTGCTTTCCCTGTTTGGCTTTGTTTCAGTGATGGAGTTTTGGCTTAGTGCTGCTGAGGTTCAGGTGGGAGTGGATGTGCAGCGTGAGGTGAAGCTACAGCAGAGAGACAGTTCACAGGGTGGAAAAGGCTGTTGCTGGGAAGGGAGGCAGTTCCCTTTCAGCTCTGTAAAATGGAAAATATTCATTCCCCTTGCTTTTTTTTTCCCCTCACATTTTCTTGGAACTGTGGTGTGGACTCCTGACTTCTTTCAGAGGATGGGGTTTTCTAGCGGACAGAGCTCTGATGCCCTTCAGCAAACGGCCAAAGTTCGTGCTCTTCATATGAAAATCTGCACGTTTTCATGGTTAGTAAATGGGTATTTTATTTAGCCTGAAGCTTTATCCTCAAATGGTAATGGAAGCAGGCTAGCTAGAATTGCACTGAGCTTGTTTAAGCAAAAAAGGTAGTTAAAGGAGAAGCTTTTTTGAAGGCAGGCTTAATTTTTCTTTTAAAAAATCCCCTTGTTTTATCCTCTCCTAGGGAGCTCTCAGTTCCCAGAGCCCTTCCTTTGCTGTATTCCTTAAACTTCAGATTCCTGGGAGTAATTGTGCCAGAATTAAACTGACTCTTTTCTGAAGAAGTCTGTTTATCAGCAGTTTTTTTGGGAGTTCCTTGCCTGGCAAAAGGAGAGAATCTTTAAAATGGATTTTTTAAGAGACAGGAATGGTGCAGGGCTTCCTTGGCTTTAAAAAATACTGACTGGAAACCAAGTTGTGAGATAAGAATTCTGCTGGACTTGGCCGTGCTGCGATAATGTTGTTGAGTTAAAACCAACTTCTCTGTTAATTTACTTCTCTATTATTCCAGGACCTTTGTTATTCTGATTAAATTAATGTAAAAAATTTACTTCTTTTTCTAAACAGAAAGGACCTCAGCAGCAAGGTTGAAGAAAGGAACCGTGAGCAGCTTTTGTACAGCTTCTGTGTTCATATTGTGGTGAATTTAATCATCGGCAAACGCTGCATTTGGGAGGGAAAGAATAGTCACAAGTGGTACCAACTCCCCATTTCACCAGTATTTATACAGCCCGTGGATCTGAGGGGAGCAATTCCGCTCCCCCAGCACTTGCATGCGCGCAGATGTGTACTCCTCTCGCGCTTCTAAAATGGTTCAAAGCAAAGGAGCAGAGATGAGAAATGAGTAAAATGAGAACAAGCAGCGTTCACAGTTTGTAATTAGGGACTATTTTGAGAGCCACACCTGATCTCAACTCATCTTGGCTGCCCAGAATGCAAATCCTTGATGCTTTGACCTGATTTGTACCCAAAGCTTTCCCTTTCTGCAGGCATTCCTTCAGCCGCCTCTCTTTGACCTCGGCCCTTCCAACGTTTCTTATTTTTACCAGCAAGGGAGAAAACTTCTTGAGTTCTTCCCCCTCCAGAGCCCTGATCCAACACTTGGGAGTCTCCCTTAGAGACTCTTGATGATTTCTCTTTCCTTTCAGCAGTAGGTAGGGTCAGGCCGATACCAGCGTGTTCGTTTTGAACCCGAAGATGTGGTTTTGGACCCAAAGATGTGGTGGTTTTTGCCACACGAGCAGCCAGAGCTGAGGCCGTGCTGCCCGGGCCTCGCCGTGCGGTTGAGCTCAGCGTGAGCTGGGTTGGGGTGAAAGCAAAACCCGACGCCTCCGTCACCACCTGGACGAGATCTTGAGGGAAACCTGCCCCCCCTCTTGTAATAGTAAGTAATTAGTGTAATAACACACACTTATTGCTGGGCTGCTGTGACGTGACGTTGCTTAATGTGTTTTGGCAAGAGCGGTGACTGAGCCGGGCCCTCGCT